TGGGCTAAGAGAGTTAAAGCTTCAGGAAGTGAAGAAACCGAGCTCCGTGATCTGCCGCGCTCTGGGCGTCCTGCCACAGCCACCACTCCAGACATGTTGAACCGCGCGGATGCCATTATTCGTGAGGATCGGCGCATCACAACTCGACAATTGGCCCAACAGCTTTCAGTCAGCAATGGAAGTGTGATTGCAATTATCCGGGCTCTTGCATATTCGAAGGTGTGCGCAAGATGGGTTCCACGAAGTCTCACAGCAGACCACAGGATTCAAAGGAAAACGATTTCTTCTGAATTGTTGGAGCGTTTTGATGCTGAGGGAGAGGTCTTTCTGTCCCGGATCATTACAGGTGACGAAACCTGGATACACCACTTTGAGCCAGAGACAAAAAGGCAGTCAATGGAGTGGCATCATCCTCAATCACCGAGAAAGAAGAAATTCAAGACAACTCCCTCCGCCGGAAAAGTCATGATGACTGTCTTTTGGGACAGTGATGGGGTCATTCTTGTGGATGTGATGCCAAGAGGTGCGACCATCAATTCAGACGCGTACATCAGGACCCTGAAAACCCTCAAGAAGCGTTTTCGACGAGTTCGGCCTCACAAGCATCCAGCAGAAATTTTGCTCCTGCACGACAATGCACGCCCTCACACAAGTCTGAGAACCCGGGAAGAAATCACCAAATTGGGTTGGACGGTGCTACCCCATCCACCCTACAGTCCAGATCTGGCACCCTCCGACTTCCATCTCTTTGGGCCCCTTAAAGATGCTATCCGCGGAACAAGATTTGAAGATGACGAGAGCGTGATTCAAGCAGTGAGGACATGGCTACGGGGACAGGACAAGAGCTGGTACCGGCAAGGCATGCATGCCCTTGTTCCACGCTGGCGTAAAACCGTACAAGTTGATGGGGACTATGTGGAAAAATAGTATGTGTAAAGGAAACATTGATTTATATTGTCACTAAATTTGAGCCATCTTGAATAAATATGTTCTGAGGAAAAAAATGTGGGGCATTACTTAATGAGCGACCCTCGTATAAGTCTATTTGATGTCGAAAACTTTACCTTGGAATTTAGGCGCGGCTTTGCTATTAAATGAACGCCCGAGGGGTTAATTAATTATTAATATGCTTACACGTGCGGCAATGTCAACAAGACAAATAAGACACACTGACACAGAAGAAATAATAATTCCGTACCATGGACCACGTTGTTTTTCGTCAAAATTAGGAACTTTAAACATTCTTGTAATTTTCCGCTTATCTGTTAATTGTTTTGAGATGCTCTGCACGCTTTAGGCTAAGGGACGAACGCCTTCTGACACAGGACCGTAACCTCGTTAATGATGATCCTGTGTACGTACGCATCACCAACCCAACCACTGTCTGTAATCAGTCTACGCACATTTAATGACTGCATAATTTCTGTGAAGATTTTCCTGAAATTTGGTATGGACGTTATGCCATATATGACTACTTTATAAACGCGGTACTCGGCGCGTGCGTGTTGAAGTCATCGTCCTTAATGACGTGTCCAATTTAATGAAGGATAACTGGGGTGGAAGCTGTGTGACTAGATTGTCATTCATTATACCTGTAATGAATTACTTATATTTTTTCCTCTCTAAACAGCCTTATTGTTTTTTGTATAATACTTTAATTAGGTTACAGCTTGGGTATGCCTTGGTCGTGTGGAATAATATTACACAGACAGATTCTAATAAACTACGTGTGCCGGCGAGGCAAATAAGAGAATTTTCTACTTTTAGTGTGAGCAGTGCACTAAGGCATAGTCCTTCAGCGAGGTGCGTCATCTCTGCAAATGACGAATGTAAATCTTTGGACGTATTTAGCATAAACATTGTCTCCCTTGAGGGCACGTTCTCAATAACGGAAAAGATCTAGATAGGTTGTCTGTTTTTTGTATTTCTTTAACGTTTTACAATTATATTAGTGTTCCCTAGGTGGATTATTGGTTTTTATTTATATTTTTTCATTTATTTTGGCTTCCCTGAATTTGGCTGTTATATTTAATAGTGTACATGTATAAGTTTAATTAATATCTTTTTGTAATATTTTTCTTTATTATCTCATTATTATTGTATATTTATCAGTGTTTGCCTGTTATCGGCTTCTTGCTGTTGGCAGACACGTAAATATATTAATTGAATTGAATTGAAATTTGGAATACCAATGTGACGGATCCCAAAATAGCCAAGTGAGGCATTAAATTTATTCGTCTGTTAACGCATGATATTCTTATCGGCCTTGGTGTTTTAATTTCTAGTTGACTTTGAAATATGTTGCAGAATGTCGCTTAATAATTCTTCGCCAAGGATAGCGTCTTTTATAGGTTCTTATTATTTTATTATTGGATTATGTAATTTCAGTAGCACAAATGGAGTGTATTTCAATTTCCCACTGCCGTATGAGTAGAGGAATGTAGTGACTTTTTGGAGATGGCGAAGTAGTTGCTCACTGAGCTCCGTCATCAACCTTTGTGCAAAAGAGTTTGGCTTATTTTTTAATTTTTTTTTTTTGATAAGGAACAGAAATACCTGGAGAGTTTCGAAATGTGGTGTTGGAGAAGAATAGAGAAGATCAGGTGGACGGATCGAGTGACCAACGAAGAAGTATTGAGGAGAGTCAACGAGCAAAGAAGCATTCTGCAGGCGATTACACGAAGGAAAGCTAACAACTGGCTGGGACATATTATGAGAAGGAATGGGTTACTGAGTGATATCATCGAAGGCCAGGTTGAAGGAAAGCGAGGACTGGGAAGAAGATTGATACAGCTAATTGACGATCTGAAACAAGGAAAGAAGATGACGTTCCAGGAATTAAAGCGAGAAGCCGAGAATAGGGACAACTGGAGAGCTCTTTTTGGGCAGAGCAATGGACCTGTCGTAAGACAGAACACTTAATAATAATAATATAATTCTTTGCCGCTGCTGAATTCTGCGCTGTTTACAGGCGTTCGGACATTAGTTCTTAGAAACGGAAGCGAATTAATCTTGGTTATTACATCATGATTACATGTTGCACTGATGAAGACAGTTTTATGACATCCGGCTCTGTCAGGGCTCGTATGCCTTAATTCTTTAAAATCTCAGAGGTAACTATGTGTACCAGCTACTTCAGGAGTTTGTAACTCTTCATTTTTATATGTGTGTTTTTCGTGTGATTCTCACTGTAAACAGCGATTATTTTCTTAAACAGCGTTAAGAAGATGTTCTTTGTAATGGTGAAGCGTTGTGTTTTCTTCGCGGTACGGGCTGAATGCTTAAATGTAATTTAGACGAACTATGATTCTCATTATAAACAGCGATTATTTCCTTAAACAGCGTTAACCAGTTGATCTTTGTAATGGTGAAGCGTTGTGTTTTCTTCGCGGTACGGACTGAATGCTTAAATATTTAGATCCCCTATTCTGGGAAAACCGTGAACGTGATATATGGGTCATGTCAGCTAAAAACGTAGATGACAGCCTGAAATTAGAGAAGTGGATGTACATTGATGAGGTCATCATGTTGTGTGGTGAGTGACACTAGCATTACTTAATATAGGATTTTCAAATGATGCGTGGTAACAGATATACGATATATATGCATTTCCTGTAAAGTGAACAGTTATAAACATGGCGACATTACGAAACATCGGGGTTATATGGAATAAATCCAAAGTGGATAAAATCTGTGTGTATGTAAATACGGATGATTTCGGATGTATTAATATGGGTGGGGCACAAGAAATGTCTGCGGGCTTGGTTTGTGAAAATGGCATTTGTTAGGTTAAGAATTATATGGGATGATAATATTAAAATGAATCATTTCAGAATAGAATATGTGTGCCAGTCCAGGTCCGTGGTTCAATTCCCGGACGGGCTGAAACTTGAGATGAGGGGTAAACCAGGCTTTGGCATACTAATCTGGTTTATACAACGAAGGAGGTGTGATTAGATGATACTTGGTACACCTCACTTCATCAAAATTTGGGTGATTTTATTAAGTTTTGGCTTTGTCCAATGTATCACATTGGGAAAGAGAGTGGCGCCATCCTGGCGTGTGAAAGTCTCTTCCCCC